GAGGGGATTAATGCACACGAGAACAGTCTGCCCGGCTCCTGGTCCCTGCACACAACCCGAGACCTCTGAGCTGTCTCTCTGGGAGGAGAAACTCCCCTGGAAATGGAGAGACCTCCTCCAAAAAACACCCTTACGCCTTTCCACCGGCTCATCCCCACCTCTCTGCCTGATACCAGCAGAATACCTGCAGGGTCTTGCCCCAGAGTGTTTCTTCTCTCCCACTGCTCGGATCAGATGATTTTTTCCGTGCCAATCATACCTGGAGTTGTTCAAGATGGTGATATTGATCTTGTTCATATTTGTTGCCTTAATGAGTCACAAATTCTGTCTGTGAGCAGAGGTGGTTTGGAGGTGCCGGCTGGCTGCTGCTAACCTGCCTTTCTGGAAGGGTTGGAATTTCAGCAGATTTGGAGAACTGGTGTTTTCCTAGATTCCTAGAGGAAATTACACTAATTGCAACAACCCCCATGTGCCTGCAGCAAGCAGAAGTGATAGGATCTCCCCAAATGTCTGCTCCCGAAGCCTGTAACCTTCCTAACAGCCCTTCTCCCCCCCTGCAGCACGGAAGGACCTGCGGCAGGTGATCTGCCAGACCCAACACTTAGGGCTGCTTTGAGGATAAATTGTTCCTGTGCTGGTTCATCTTCTGTCTGCAAATGGTTCTTGGGGCTGAGCAGAGGTGTCAGCTCTCCACATGGGCAGGGGACTCGAGCTGCTGTCCGCTGCCACTCTGATCTTGGCTGGGGCCAAGTTTTCCTTATTTTGAAATGATTTTAATATTCAGACTACACAAATATCCTCACATGGGTACGGTGCATGGGGTCACATCGCAGTGCTAGTGTGGAATTGATATAAATGCTCTATGGGGTATGTCTAAACAATGGACCCATATTAATCAAGCTTAATATTAATCAGCTTCCTCCTCCACTGAGATCTAGCAATGCCCCCCTCTCCAGACCCAGACTTGGAGCTGGTTTGGGGATGCAGGCTCTTTCCGGAGCAGGACAGTGTGCTTCTCACATCTCTCAGATGCTCCTCAATAGGCTTAATTTAAACATTAACTCACAATTTGCCTCTGGGCTCAGGGCATGGAAAAAATTAGAGCAAAAGGAGAATTTTTCAAGAAGCTCTGAGTGAGCAAAGCAGGGTTATAATAGAAATAGTTTTGGACCTTAATTATGGCTTCTAATGGAAATAGTTGTGCAACCTCAGCAGCGGGGTTTGGTATGTGCAGCAGATCTGAGCCGAGGATGTGACGGGAGGACAACCAGGGCTCGGCAGCCTTTGGCTTCCTTCTCATGGGAGGCTCTTGGAGAGCTGGGCTGAGGCTGGTGAGGGAAATGTTCCTCACTTCCACCAGCCACAGCTTTGGATTGCTCCAAACAGAGCTAAGGCTTTGCCCCTTTTGTGCTTCAGACAAGAACGTGGGCAGCCTCGAGTCCCTCGCCAATGCCAGCAGAATGTACAGGCGGCATCCAGCCGAGCACCTCCGGACAGAGGAGCAGGGAGAGAGCCTGGAATTCCCTGCTGGGATCAGCACTGCTCGTCCTGCTCAGCTTCCCCCCAGGACAGGGGCAAGCAGGCTGACTGCCTGCCCCTCTCAGCTCCTCCAGGAAAGCGATTCCCGGCTGTCAGTGCCGATACAGTGAACCCCAGCACTGTCCTGCAGGGATAAATGATGCCGATGAGAGCAGAGATACTCGTTTGAAGGATCCAGATTGCAAAATAATGACACAGCATTTGCGAGGGGTGGGAGCAAGACGGGTTAATTACTTCAGAGGAAGCACATCACCTTTGGTGTAGGGTCAAACCTCCTCGCTCTGGAAATCTGCTGGTATTACCCTGCTCTAAGGGGTCACTTGGCACCGCCTGGGAGCAGTGACGTGTGCAGCTAATGTGATTTACAAACCTCTGGTTTGGACCATCAGTGGATGATGGTCCTTCAAGGGGGAAGGGATCACCTGGTTCGTCTATTTTCCTTCCACAAAGATCTCGAGGCAAAAGGTTTCCTTGTGGCTAGGGAAATTCAGATGGGATGAGTGGTTGATTAGCATAGCTGCAGGGCTGGAGGACACCAGCCAAAACCACTACCATCAACTGGGCAGACTGGGATGATGGGAGATCCAGAGGGACTGGAAGAAGGCATGACCTCCTCCTGTGCCTGCACACTGCCAGGAACAGTCATGGAAAATGATGGTGACGTCTTGCAAAGGCAAAGTCACTTCCCAAGGATATCCATATGTCTCTTCTGGATATAAATGCAGAAAATATGGGTTGGTTCCACAAACCCAGGGCCCAGCAGCCATTGCCAAGGCACACGGCCTTGCATTTTCAACTCTCAGTTCTTGAAAACTTGGGAAATCCTCACAATTTTGGTCCTCCAAAGAGTGATGGAAAACCCTGGCCTCATTGTGGGGGTTGAGTTGTTTGGAAAATTCAGGCTTTGTGCTGAAGATGCAAACATGTTAGTTCCCCTCCATTGCCCATGTCTCTGTGTAGGCTGCAGAAATAAAGCAAGTGTTAAACGTGCAGGCATTTAACCCTTTCAGGATGCTGGTTTATTCATAGCATTAACTAACATAAAGAATCGCCCAGTGCGTTTTGACAGCTACTGTTTTAAAGCTCTTATCATAGTTATTTTTTTCCTTTTATCACAGTTTTTGTATTGTGTGGTGAAGATTCGTCTCTATCCTTGCCTAGTTTATCTATAATTCAGGACGTTTTTACACTTAGGTTATAATTGACTTTTCCATGCTGCAGCAACTCAAACAATAACTATTAATATTCAGCAGTCTATAGTGATAAAGATTTCCATTTACTTTCTTTTACTTAACCGTGTGAATATACGACATCCTATCTCACACGGGTAATATTGAATTCATTCATATTTACTCTCCATTTTCCTGTATAACAATATTGAAAGAGTGAGCACTGCGGTTTTGGGGACATCTGACTCCCGCTCTCAGCTGGCCAGCCCTGCTTCCACAGAAGGGAGCCAACACCTGCAGGTCCTGGTGAGGCTGTGACTCTGCCTGGCCATCACCCCTCAGGCCTTCCCAAGGCTGAGGAAGAAGGTGGAGCAGAGTACAAAGCACAGTACCTCAGCCTTCCTCCCCTCAGGAGCAGGACCCTGGTCCTGATGAGGACACTGCATTTGCACCCAAGAAGTAGTTGCCTTAAAAACTCAAAATGGTGTTAGAGGGCTGTGAGCTGAAAGTGGGGAAAATGCCTCGGTACCCTGCCCAGGTGTCCCTCATGGTGTGGGGTAATGCCATAGATGGATGGGTGTGCAGGGTGGATTGATGGTGGAAGGAGATAGGAGCTGGGCTGGGAAAGCAGAACAGTTCATTCTTTAAGGGGATTATGCTGCAACACAGAACCAGGAGTTCCCTGCCCTGGGCTTTACAGTGTGACCTTACACAGGACGATGAAGGGAGGCTGAGGACGCAACAGGCTGATCTCCCATCCCTTTTTCTGCTGTAAAATACACAGTGGCAAGTTTGGTGGGGAGACTCTGAACACCAGCACTGCAGCCTAGGCTCTGACCCACTACTGTCACCACCAGAGATAGCAAAGGTGTCCTGGCTCTGCCTCGGGGGCTTTATTCTGCTGCACAGCCTCCTCCTGTGGTGCAAAGACACCCCGTGACTGGGTGCTGCTGGGATCAGTGCCAGGCTGGAGAAGCAGCCAGGAGAGGAGCCAGCAGGAAACCCCAAACACGCTCACCGTGATGCTGGGCAGCAGATGATGAGCTGGCTCTCAGCAGAGAGGATGGAGGGGTGGGAGGGTGAACAGTCCCTTGTTGCTGGGGCTTGGGGATGGAGCAGTGTGCATTTCCTTTCTATTGCCCCTCGAAGGCTGCGTGCCTGCCTGCCAGCCGTGTGTGGCACCCCACTGCAGGGGCTGGATGGTCACCAGGCCCCTGCCCGGGCTCCTGGCACACAGCTGGCACTGCCAGCATGGCAAGCACTGCGCGGGGAGATGCTCTCTCCTCCACTCATCCCCTAACGGAGGGTGGAGCAGGGACCGGCTGCAAAGCCAGCAGCAGGCAAGGTATTAACTGCAGCTGTGTCGAGCTGTTGTGACTGAGCTCTTCCTTGTAATTATGAAAAATGTCCTGCACAGAGGAGAAGTGGCAGAGCTGCTCCCCCCTGCTTGGAGAGAATTACTTTCCCAGGCAGCTTTCTTCCAAAAAAGAGGGGCTCTTCATCCTCTCCGCCCCAGCCACCCACGGAGCGGGACTGTTCCCACCGGTGCTGTTGGTGAGCTGTTCCTGAGCTTCACGGCTAGTTAAGGGCTAGTGGGGTTAAACGGAGAGTCCATTAATCTCGGCCCGCCGAGGTCACAGCCGAGGGACACACATGTGGCTGGTGATTTATGGGCAGCCTGGGCCCGTGCCCCTTCTTGGGGCTGCTGCCAGAGCTGCCCAGCACGGTGGGCACTTGCCAAGCCTGGCAGGAGGGCCAGCGAGCTGCTCTGGCTGTGGCCGGTGCTGCTTCCACCCTGGCTCAGCCCTGGCAATAACTCACCTTGCAGAGACACCTCAGGAGCAGCGCTCCCCACGACAAAGCTCACACCCCCTCCACTGCCCCCCACCCCGCCTCAGTTTCCCCATCATTAGGAAGAGTCCCATCCTCTCCAGCCTCGCAGGACCCGATGCCCATCACACCCTGTGCAATTCCAGCCCAGTGTGAGGAGGGCTCCGTGTCACCAGGGCAGCTGTCCCGGGGTGCAGCAGGTGGGATGGAGACAGGCAGCACTCCGGGGACACCGCAGCCTCTGGAGCTGGGGGCTGCCCCTGCGCCACGTGCGGAGATGGGATTCCCTCTTCTTTCATGTTCCTCTTGGCCTCTGATCAGAAGTGCGCGCTATCTGCCTGCTATTAGCCTGCCTGCTGCTCTCTGCCCCGGGAGCAATCACAGGGTGAATGAATAAACACAACAGCATTTAGTGAGATCTGAAAGGAGATGTGATGATAATTTCTTCCCTGCAAATTGTAGGCGCTCATGTTTTCAGCGTGCTGAAGGCAATTAGAGAGGAGCGGAGCTGGCAAGACCAGGGACAACGCTGGAGAAGCTGCGACTATGGAGCTGTAATAACAATTTAGATTCTATTTAGATACAAGTGGCTACAAGTCGTGTCTCAATATTGAATCAATCGACACAGACAAATGGTTTAATATGGAGGTTTTCGCCGGAGAGGAAGGGCTTTAGAGGCACCCAGATGGGGTGGACATCAGGGACAGAAGCAGAGCTTCTGGCTGCAAGAGGGGAGACAGAAAGGGGTGATCCTGTGGGGAACAAATGCCCTTTCTCGCAGCTCTTGGCGCTCTGGGCTGGCTTATGCTCGGCATCGATTGAGGAGGTATTTTTAGAGGCAGTCTGGTATTTGTTAACCTTCTTGTGCAGAGTGGAACTCACTTCTCTAAAGCATGTGTGCGCGCACGCGTGCGGGAGGCAGGAGAGATCCCGCCAGAGATAAAACCTGAGTAGCCAGCCCCAGCCAAAGGCCGGGCACAGCTGTATAAATAGGAGGTGGCCCCCCTCACCCCCCACCTCCTCACAGTCAGTGGGGCTGGTGACACTGGAGAATGCTTTGCTGTCATTAGTTAATTGAGCTGCCGATGTTAAGAAAAGGTTATGTATTTCTCCTGGTAGTTTTTCTTTGTAAAACTCTGACAGGGATCTCTTGCAATAGCAGTGGTAATGTCCCAGCTGGGGCGTCCAAGCAAATCTTCCCTATGGTGAGGATTTTTTTTTCCTTTTCTTTCCCTTCTTGTCATATTTTCCCTCCCATAAGGAGGTTGCTCTGTGGAGGAGCAGAGAACCCCAAGCCACCTGGGTGCCTGCCTCCTGTAAGTGATACCCCTCACTGCAGCCCCATGCAGGGTCTCCCCACCAGCCTGGGACCACCAGCAGTGTGGGCCCTCCACCCCCTTACCTGCCTCAGGAAACAGCCCGGGGATCCATGCACAGTGTCTGTTGTCCCCTCACAGCCGGGCACAGAGTACCTGAGAGGGAAAGGGGATTGGATCCTGTCTCTGGTGCTGGAAGCACTGCAGAAGCATCGCAGTTCGCTCTCAGGGAATCTGAGAGGCTTCACTAAATTGGACCCATGTGCATGGTGCTGTCAGAGGGGCCCCTGAGCATCCATGGCTTGGCTGATGCCATGAAACTCATTTCACTGCAAGCATTTTTAATGTGCACCTCTTGAGACCAAGTGCCAGGGACCTGGGAGACAGTCTCCTTCCTCTGCCTTGGCTCCAAGTTGTTCTGCTGGGAAGTTTTCCCAGCTGGAGGTGGATCTCACCTGGGATGGCTGGGAGCAGTGAGGCAGGCTGCTCTGCAGGTTGGGTATGGGAAGGAAATGGGAATTCAGGGTCCTGGGAGCTGCAGCAGGTCGGGCTCAAGCAGCCTGTGTTTGCTGCTGCAACCTCCAGCACTTTGCTCCTGGCAGAGCGGAGCCCCTTGTGCTGCTCCCGCAGCAGGAGGGGTGAGAGCTGTCTGAAGGTGCAAGGATGCGCTTGCTGGGACTGCAGTGAAGGTGCACCTCACATCCGTGCTTGATGATCACCCGAAGCTCCTGCGCCTGTGAAGCACCGCCCAGGTGTTCAGCTCTTCCTAGGGACAGCAGGACCGGCTTTTGTAATGATTCACCTTCCAGCTGCCGTCCCCCAGCAGCTCCCAGGCGTTCATGTCCACATGAAACAGAGGGCTGTCATTATCCGCCCCCGGAGCACCGAGGCGGAGGAGCAGGCTGGGCGAGCTCCTGCCTGGGATGGCTTCACCCACGGTGAGAGCAGCTGCAGCCATGAAGTGCAGCGTGGCCCGGGGCCGGTGCCACGACCATCCCCACCCCTCGCAGCAGGAGCATCCACCCCCATCCCGCCAGGACCCACCGCTCCTCACGGAGGGGATGCGTTCTCCCACTGGGACCAAGAGGGGAATCACAGGAGATGGCAAGGCGGTGTGGAAACCCTGAGCAAGTAGGATTTCACCTGCACTTCTCTCATGGGGACCTTATACCAGTGTAGCACATCTTATTACAGCTTTTGCTCAAACTGCTGCCTTCCACCTCCTTCAGGTTTCCACTGTCTCTGCCTAAGCCTCAGTGCTTTTATTCCCCAGAACATCTCCGTTCAGTACTCTCAGTTCCTGAACCAGGTGATGATTTGGCAATGGATCTGCCAGTGAGACAGACCTGCACCTGCCTAACAGCTGGCACTGCCCACTTGTGTCAAGCTCAGCTGAGCCAGCACAACTTGCCCCTGTCCCTGCAGCCACCCCGGCCAAGCAGCAGAGCCTGCTGCCACAGAGCCTTGCAAAATACTTGCCACAAACCCAGTACTGAGGTGGGGGGAGACCCGTAAGATGTGTCCAGGTGAAACATGGGGGTGATGCACTGCTGCGCTCCTGCACACTGCCCTGGCATTGGGTCTCCACAGGATGAAATGTGACCCAAGCAGTCATCGGGTCAGCACAGCCAGGGTCAGAGCCTGGCCCAGCAGTGGCTGTGTCCGTGGAGGAGGTCACTGACCCCAGCTTCCCACTACTGCCTGTGGTGAATGGTGAAGAGGTCACCAGGGCCCCCCCTGCACCAGCACAGTGGTTGCTGGCTGATCCCTAATTAATCCCAGGCAAAATTAATCAGTTGACATCCGACAGCTGAAGAGCGGATGGCAACCGCTCTGGGGCTCTGCCTCCTCTGAGCAGCAGCACGGGGCCCGTCTGGGCGTCTCTGGCCCCAGTTCTGGGGGATACAATCAAGATCTCCTGGAATTGTGTCTGACAGTCTTCACTCCCAATAAAAAGATGCTTTCCCACTGCTTAGCAAAGCAAATCAGTCCTGGGACCACAGCAGCAGCTATTTCAGTGACAGCACTGCTGAATCCCCCCATCATAGGGATGACCATGCCTTCCCATTTCCCACTACCTCACTCCCTCCTCCTGGCCCAAGTCTTTAATCCTTACCTCGCAGGCTCTGCCAGTTTGGGTTTCTAATCACGGTCAGTGCATGCTGGAATTAATGATCTGATCCAATCGACATCCAGGAATCCGTAACGAGACTCTGCTTTAGATTAATCAGTCATTAGGCCAAAATGCCAACACAGTGCCTGAAAACTATTTGTCTTTCCTGCCGCGCTTTCTTTTTATTTCTTTCATTTTAAATAACTCCAAAGGGCTCAGCTCTTCCCCCTTTCCTTCTCAGGAGAGGAAGCAGCTTCCCTGTCACAAGCACCAGCCCCAGGTCCTGACCCTCTCCTGTCCCTTACGTACAGTCTTGGATGCTCTGGCTCTGCTTCCCTGCAGATTAATTTGGCACATAAAAAGAGGAAAGTCTTAAATACAATGACGAGGGCTTGCCTCGGAAGCAGGCACACACCTTGGTACGAGAGCTGCCGGAGGGTGCCAAGGCTCCTGCTCCAGCCCTCAGCCGTGCTCTGGCTGTCTCCAGGTGTGGGGGATGCTGCACAGCCTGGGGTCTGTGGGGTTCCCACCCGCAGAGGTGATGGCAGTGCCGGCATGCGGGGCACGCACGGTGGATGCTGCTTCGGAGGAAAGAGGGAGAGCAGTGAGGGTCCAATTTTAGTGACCTCATTCCTGCGAAGGATATTGGAAAAGAGTAACAAGATCAGAAACAGGCTGAGATACGTGGCAGGGCTGCTCCCCGAGACCTGCTTACCGTGAGAAATTTAAGGATCCCAATCAGTTGATCAAAGGAGAGGAGACCTGAGCTGCGCCAGGGGAAGATATCTGATAGCAGAGGCTTCTCCAGCTCAGCAGGTAAAGCAGGATGCCGCAGCTGGAGGTTTCAAAGGAGGGGAAAAAAAAACTGAATCCAGGCACAAATATTTTTTTGGGGAGAGGAATTATCTGCTGCAGTAAGGGAATGCTGCAGGTCCTTCAGGTACGGGGTCCTTAAATCTGTGGGTGTCACTCAAATGCTGAGGTCTAATTTCCTCCACACACTAAAGGAACTGATGGGGTGTTTCCTTTGCCACGTGCAATGCAGTACTAATGCCTGTGGCCTCTGCTGGCTCTGAGACATGAATAAAACAAAAGCAGTTCCCAGCTCCTTCATGCGCACCTCTTTGGAGGTGGAGGGGGCAGGAGCAGGGTTTGCAGAGCGTTTCCGTGGCTCATTGTATCCTCACCCCAGCACCCTCCTGCCAGAGAGCTGGCTAAATCTGATAAGTACCTGGGTTAGGCTTTATTCCACTTGAGTAACTTCTGAAACAGGACATTTTTAGCCAGACCTGCACCTTTCCCTGGGGAGCTGCAAACGAACCGCACTGAGAGTACAGGGAATAGGTGCTGATCTGTCAAATGTTACCAGGAGCGCTGTGGTGGGCTAGGAGGGTGCAGGGGTCACACCAGAGAGAAAGCTGGGCCCAGCATCCTGGGAGAGCGGCAGCAAAGCAGAGGGAGTGTGCAGCCTGTTCTGGGCCCCTGTCACCAGCTTAATTGCCTGATGCTGAGCATGGCTCAGCACTGCTTCTCCTCAGCTGCTTTAAAAAGAAGAGTTTTCTGCTCTGCAAGATCCAAGCATCCTTCAAGGAGCAGGGCCACAGGCAGGGATGCAGGTTGGCACTCTCTCCCCAGCGTGATCCATGTACAGCACCAGGGTGAGGCATTGCCAGGACAGAGCCTTTGTCCCGGACCTGGTAGCTGAAGGTGTCAGAGATACCCCCGGGGGCAGCACTGTGCTGCATGGCCATGGGGCTGGACACCCTCTGGAAGCAGCAGACATCCCATGGCCATCCATAATGATGTGGGGAGGGGAGGAGGGGCTGTAACAGGCATAAACAGCATCCCCCCTGCAAGGCTCATCTCCCACTCAAAACCTGTTCCATGGAATACCCCCTCCCATCACCCTGGGAGCCAGCCAGGCTGCAGAGAGGTAATCCCCATAGCTGCCCTGCGCCCCTCAATCAGCAAAGCCCCCCTCTGCAGCATCAGCCCTGGCTCCCAGCCTGTATTTCCAGCCTCAGCAGTGAAGGCTGGGAGCAGGGGATGCCTCACTGCGTTGGTCACCCTGGGGGCCAGCCCCTTCCCTCTGGCTGCTCCGAGGGGGATGAGGGAACGAAAGGTGCCTGGAGCTTATTCAGTCTTCTCACTGGAGGA